CTCCAGGATATCCAGCCAAACTGGCCTGGAGAACAATTGCTTCCTGACCCCAAAGTGGTGATCAGCATTTCCCTTGGCATGTAAGAAGGGGCCTCAAGAAAGAAGCAGTGGTGCAAACCCTTTGTGCCCTCCCTCTCATGAACTGACCAAGTTCACAGAATCAGCATTGCTGTCAGATGACCATCCAGCCTCACTCCCTGCAAAAACATAGGCCATCTTTTTAGAACCAAGCTGCCAAACCATAACCAATGTGAAACATCCATGCATCATGTCTTCCGTAACGTATTAAAATGCTTATTTGCAACCCCCGAAAGCTACTTCAAAGAGTGCTGAGGGACAAGAGTGTTTATTTTCCTTCAAGAGGCCATTTTAGATTTGCCAACCTGTGTTGGGGTTGGAGATCTCCCGGAATTATAACTGATCTCCAGATGACAGAGAACAGTTTCCCTAGAGAAAATGGTGGGTAGACTCTATGGCATGACGTCCTGCCGAGGTCATAAGAACATAAGAGAAGCCAACGTTGGATCAGGCCAATGGCCCATCCAGTCCAACACTCTGTGTCACACAGTGGCCAAAAATACCAGGTGCCATCAGGAGGTCCAGCAGTGGGGCCAGGACACTAGAAGCCCCCTTACACACACTGTGTCCCCCCCCCAAGCACCAAGAATTCAGAGCATCACTTGCCCCAGACCAAAAGTTCCTGTCTATACCTTGTGGCCAATAGCCACCGATGGACCTCTGCTCCATATGTTTATCTAATTCCCTCTTGAAGCCTTCCATGCTTGTAGCTGCCGCCACCTGTGGCAGAGAATCCCATGTGTTAATCACTCTCTGGGTGAAGAAGTACTTCCTTTTATCTCTTCTAACCCGACCGCTCAGCAATTTCATTGAGTGCCCACGAGTTCTTGTATTGTGAGAAATCTGACTCAGTCTAACTCAGGTCCCTCCCACTACCCTCGCTAGGCTCCACCCCCAAATCTCCAGGGATTTCCTAACCCAGAGCTGGCAACCCTAGTTTGTAGTGCCACGCTCGGCAGATTTGCACCCTTCTAAATCCACTGAGCCCTTACCTGGATGGCCCAGGTGAGCCCAGTCAGAACCTAAGCAGGGTCAGTCCTGGTTAGTACTTGGATGGGTCAATGTGTAGAGGCAGGCGATGGCAAGGCCACCTCCGCACATCTCTTGCCCTGAAAATCCCGAGGGGTCGCCATAAGTCGGCACTTCCCACCACTGAGTCCATTCAAATCAGTGGGGACGTCACTCTGTTTAAGACTGCATTTTAAATTGTGGAAGAGAGAGGGGAGGAATAGGTGAAATGCTGCCGTTCCCCCAGTGACTCTTCTCCCTCCCCGTATTTCAAGTTCTAAGTAGCAGCCGGGCTCCAGTTCAAACTGGGGCCTCTGTCTTTTTCTGCAGTTGCAATGCTCTTCCCCCCCCCCATTCTGTTCGTCTTGCAGGAAGGGAAACTATACCAGCGCCTGGACTCTGTGTGTGTTTGTGTGTGGTGGAGATAGCACACCGTGGGAGAGTCCCGATGCCGCCTGCAGTCCTGATCCAAACTCTTCCTCCACACCTCCCCAGCAGCTCTTTGCAGTTTACAGAACAGCAGGGGAACAATCCGTGGATCTCCTGTTGTTACTTCTCATTAAATGCTCAGATGGCAGATGGGAGCTCACGCGGCGGTGTGATGTTCAACCGTACAAAAGAAAAGAAAGAAATTGCCCCTGGAAAATGCATCTGCAGAGGCTATGGAGGAAGTGCTTTCTCAGTGCCCTCTGCAGAGGACGTGGCTTTCATAACGCAACTACCCAATCAGTGGCTAACAGTCCGATTTAGGGGAGGCCCTCGACAAAATGCCTTCTCTTGGGTTGCCAGCTCTGGGTTGAGAAATGCCTGGAGATTTTTTTGGGGGGATGGAGCCTGGGGAATGTGGTGTTTGGGGAGGGATGGGACCTCAACAGGGTATAATGCCCCAGGGTCCCCCTTCCAAAGCAGCCATTTTCTCCAGGGGAACTGATCTCTGTAACCTGGAGACCAGCTGTAATTCTGGGAGATCTCCAGCCACCACCTGGAGACTGGCAACTCTACATCTCTCCGATCCCAAGCATAACACCGTCACCTTGTTGTCCTCCACCCCAGTTGTCCCTTCCTCATTCAGTGAGAGGTAGAAAGCACTTGGTGGCTGCATGCTGTTATCACCCCTTGCCGGGCAATTGACGGGTGGTGGCTGCCAAGAAGGGTTGAAGTCACTACCGGAGAAAGAGAGAGAGCGTCAGTGAGGAAGGGCAGCAACTGCTGTTCTTCCTCCAAGCTCTCATCGCTTCTCCCTTGGTTGGGTGGGGTGGGAGAGTGCCCTAATTGCCCTGGGGTGGGCCAGTCGTAAGAACATAAGAGAAGCCATGTTGGATCACGCCAGGCTCATAGACAGGATTTTGTGGCTTGCGAGGCAAAAAATTTTCTGGTGGGGCTGCCATTATTTTTATGTCGGCAGCTACCCCTCTCCCCTCCCCTCCTGCAAGATTTAAAGGGCCCTTCAGCTGGTTGGCGGGGAACACGTGGCCTGCCGATAAGCTGGAGGGCCCTTTAAATGCTTTGGAGAAGAAGCAGGGGGGCCATGTGCGCAGGCCGTCCCAATTCTTCTCAAAAAATCTTCTAAAAATTTTTTTTGCCGCTGGCCCTTTAAGAAACGGGGTGGAGCCCCCCAATAGCCCCACTGTAGCTACAGGCCTGCCATCGTCACACAGGACAGAAGCGTGGGCAGTTGTGGATGCCGCCGCTGTGCCATGGTGAGTCAGGGACTGGCGATGGACCTTCCCAAGGCTCTGGGTTTGACAGCAGCAGAAGGATGCTGACCCCTGATGCTGGCCTTGCTCCATAGGAGGTATGATGGTGGATCTGGGACTGCATGTCAAATCACTACATCAGGGTCATATACCCACGGGGAGGGTGACATCTCCCGTCCCCGGTGCATGTTGCCTGTCAGCATGGCAGCAACCAGCAGGAAAACTTTTTAAAAATGCCGTCAGCAGCAGCGTGACGTAATTTATGGGGAAAACCCGGAAGAGGTGCTGCACCGTCACACAGCACAGAAGCGTGGGCAGTTGTGGATGCCGCCGCTGTGCCATGGTGAGTCAGGGACTGGCGATGGACCTTCCCAAGGCTCTGGGTTTGACAGCAGCAGAAGGATGCTGACCCCTGATGCTGGCCTTGCTCCATAGGAGGTATGATGGTGGATCTGGGACTGCATGTCAAATCACTACATCAGGGTCATATACCCGCTGGGAGGGTGACATCTCCCGTCCCCGGTGCATGTTGTCTGTCAGCATGGCAGCAGCCAGCAGGAGAACTTTTTAAAAATGCCATCAGCAGCAGCGTGACATAATTTATGGGAAAAACCCGGAAGAGGTGCCGCACCTCTCTAGGAATCACCAGAAACTCTGTGGTAAAAATGGCTGCCCCCCCCCCCATGTCCCTGCCCTGTGGTTGCTGGTTGTTGGGCCTAGCAATCCTACTCAACGTTAAGGTGACATACTTGGGGGCTTGTGTGGTTGCTGTGGAGCACCGACAGCGTAAAACATAGTCAGTATAAACCTCTATTGAGCAAACTTCAGAGGACGGCGGAGGACAGGAGGGCCTGGCGTGATCTTGTCCATGGGGTCGCGAAGAGTCGGACTCGACTGTGCGACTGAACAACAAATAAACCTCTATCACGAACATAGACAATATGCCATCACACTGTTAACATTAACCATTTATGTAAAGTTGTCACGTTTCTTGGCTTAATATAGTTCAGTCCATCATTTTCACTGAAACGGAAAGTGTTAGAATCCTCCAGGACTCCTTCAGAAAGGCTCTGAAGTGCTTTTCCTTCTCTTCCAGTCATTTGTATCCTCATTTAAACACTAGAATTTCCTTAACGTTGGGGACACAGTATGTCTGTCATGTGTGTGGCTGGGTTGTTCTTTATTCCGGTCATTGGCCTCACGGGCTTCCATATTGTCCTAGTGGCGCGAGGACGCACAACCAACGAACAGGTAAGGTGGTAATTTAAACGTTTAAACACACAGGGGGTTGTGGTTCCATGATACAGCACACACCTTTTATGCAGAAAGCTCCAGGCTCAGTTCATGGTAAAGGTAAAAGTTTCCCTTGCTCGAAAACCAATCGAATCCGACTCAAGGGGCGGTGCTCATCTCCGTTTCCAAGCTGAAGAGCCAGCGGTGTCTGAAGACTTTTCCGTGGTCATGTGCCGGCATGACTAAATGCCAAGGTGCATGGAACGCTGTTATCTTCCCACCAAAGCGATACCTATTTATCTACTTGCAATTTCTTGCTTTGAACTGCTAGTTTGGCAGGAGCTGGGGCCAGAGACAGGAGCTCACTCCATCATGCGGCACTAGGGTCTTGAACTGCCAATCTGCTGACCTTTCGGTCTGCAGCTCAGTGATTTTAACTTCTGAGCCACCACAGCCTGATATCAGCAGGCAAAAGGAAGGGGGCTGTGGCTCAATGGTAGAGCATCCGCTTGGGGTTCAGAAGGTCCCAGGTTCAGTCCCTGGCATCTCCAGTTAAAAGGACCAGGTTGTAGGTGATGTAAACGACCTCTGCCAGAGAGACGCTGCCAGTCTGAGTAGCCAATACTGACTGTGATGGAACGATGGTCTGATTTGGTATAAGGCAGTTTCATGTGTTCGTATGTTGGGATTGACTTTGACAATCAGAATACTGTGAGATGGGCCAGTGGCCCAACAGTATGAGGCAACGTTATGTATGTTTGTGTCTCCATGTTCTTGGTAGAAATATGGTGTGTGTGTGTGTAAGACAGACTATTATACCGTTGTGGAGAAGGTCAGAGACTATTGCCTTCATATTGTACTTGAGAACTTCCTTAGAAACGTCCGGCTGGCCAGTTTTTGGAAAGTTGGTACTGGAGTAGATGGACCTCTGATTTGCTCCGGCAGGGCTCTTTTGATACTGAAGACGCGAGATCAGCAGCTATGATGGAGATGTCCTAATTGATGCTTTTCTTACCTGTTCAGAGTACTATGATTATTATAATTGCAGGTGACAGGTAAATTCCGCGGAGGAGTGAATCCTTTCACTCGAGGATGCTGTGGTAATGTGGAACATGTTCTCTGCAGCCCTCTGGCACCCAGGTAAACTAGGAGGAGAGGGGTATAAAAGCTAGTTATTAACCTAAGGTGTGTCCCTGGGGTGCTGTGGGTCCCAGCCTATTGCTTACTAGGCACCTTGGACCTAAAGAACATGGGTTCAAACCCTCCGTCTGCCACTGACGCGTCGGCTGCTTCACATATTATTTTAGCAACATTATAGTTGCTGTAGAACTGATTTTATATGGTCACTTCCCCACCTCACAGTGGGAACATGCTAATCTCATCGTTTGGCTGGATTGCATTGCTAATTTGTGGACCAGTACCAGACGGCTATACTAGTATGAGAACTAATAAAACCCCAGAAATCAGCTTCCTGGAGGAAGAAGCAGGTGTAAAATCCCCACTACCTTCCTCCCCCTCCCCCCACACTTTGTTTTCCCCCATACACTGCCTCCAAATCTTCAGGAATTTCCTAAGACATAATTGGCGACCCAAGTTGGTCTGATTTTCTAATGCCAGAAAAATTTTAATATGGGGGAGAGTATCCCATGATCCTCTGTGGTGTTCCATGTTTGAGCGGAAATGGTATAGTATGGCCTACCACCTCGGTATTCTGGCTTCTTATTCCCAGTTCATTCTACCATAGGATGGCCAGGCAGGGGATGGGGGGGGGGATGGGGACTTATCAGTAGAAAAAAGAATGCCTAGACCACGTTGCCTATGTCGCAACTGGCTTTTACCATAGAGTTTTTGCCCAAATTGTTGCCCGGAAATCACTGACATGATGACATCACTTCCTGTGTGATGCAGACAATATGACCTAGGCCACCTGGTAGGCAGTTTGGGGGCAGGGGCTGGTGGCGGGGGACCCCTGCCTCCACCAGGGGGGCTGGCAACCCTATTCTACTGTATGTATAAATCAGGCCAAGCTCTTATGTACTGAAGTACATTTCCTCCGCAGCCCTCTTTTAATTGGTTTTGCTGGCTAGGAATTGCTTATCTGATGAAATTCAGTATCCAGGCAGATCCATATCAGCGGCAATCTTCACAGCAATTATTCTCCTGGACTCAAAGACTCTCCCTCTCCTACTATACCAGTCCATCTTTCCGCAAGATTCTGTCCACTGTCAGAACAAAATTGAAGTCCTTGAAGCTGATTCTTTGCTCCTTAGCTTTATAATGGATGGAAGGAAGTGGTGATTTTTCAATCTCCTTGACAGTTTTCAGTATTGTGAAAGAGGTACCCTCCAAGCGCAGAAGTAAGCCTTCAATCTGCCTGGCTTTGTCGTCTCTGGGCACAATCGGTCGGGAAGTTCTCCCGCAGAAGCCCCAATGAAATGAATGGGAACTCTCATTAATGTCAGCGAAACAAGTGCAGGAGAAACTGCCCTCATGGACCATGGCCATTGGCTGGATCCAGATTAAATCTTCCAGTGGCAGAATGGCCTTTTTCAGTCTCCCCCCACACACACACACTGCAGCCGTCCGGTCTCCAGAAAATGCTGCTCCTGGGTAAGAGGGGACCCTAAAGACTGGCATGGGGTGGTCTGCGGTGGGAAGGAAGAACTAGTAGGAATTGCCATTGTAGTCCGGATCCAGTCCACTCATTCAAAATCTAAGTGTAACAAAAGCAACACTTTTGTTCGTTGTCTTAGAAGAAATGTTTAACTAATTTCTCAGGTACATTGTTGACCCAAAGAAGAAACAGCCGGTAAGCGTGAAACCACCCTTTCTGAGACTGGATTTAACTGAGCGGCAGATTACAGTCAAAATAAGTGACAACGGCATTCAAGCCAACCTCAACCGGAGCAAGGTAGGGCATTTTTGACGTATTAGACCCCTGACTCCTCCTTGCTTGGCCCCCATGATGTTAAGAACTTCTAGTCCTGGGAAGAAGGGGATAGAGAACACACAACCCAGCCCCTGTCATCCCAAAACCATCAACAGAACAACATTTCAGGCAGAGCTGTTGGGGGATAATATATTAGAAAAGGGGGAAAGGGTTCCCTTTGATCACCAAAAAGGCTATGCTTCGGCGGGGAGGATGGGGTATAAATCCGATAAATAAATGAATAAAAATCATGGGACTGGCATGGACACAGGGTTGCCAGCCTCCAGGTGGGGCCTGGAGATCTGCTTTTACAACTGATCTCCAGGCTGACTGCTCCCCTGGAGAAAATGGCTGCTTTGAAGGGTGGGCTCTTGTGGCATAGTACCGTGCTGAGGCCCCTCCCCTCCCTAAACCCCTCCCTCTCCTGGATCCACCCCGAAAGTCTCCAGGTATTTTCCAACCCAGATCTGGCAACCGTACATGGACAGAAACCACGTGAGATGAGACTTGTAGTAAAGGGGTCCTCAACCTTTCCAAACCTGCAGGTACTTTTGGAATCCTGACGCAGGGTGGTGGGCACAGCCACAAAATGGCTGCTGTTAGAGGAAGAGCCAGACACAAAATGGTTGCTGTAGCTTACTTTCAGTCACAGGGTGAAGATCGTTGCGTTAGCAGCTGCTGCCAAAGCAACATTTTAAAAAAATCTGCACAGGTAGTTCTCCAGTGGCCAATAAGAAGCCTATGGCATTGCACCATGCTGAGGTACCAAATCCCTCCCCAAACCCCGCCCTCTCCCGGATCCACCCCCAAAGTCTCCAGGTATTTCCCAACCCAGACCTGGCAATCCTAGCCTGGATTCAGCCCAATGAGATGTCTTAAGTCACTTGAAGGCCTTTGAGGACGGAAAGGTAAAGGTAAAGGTTTCCCTTGCTCGAAAGCCAGTCGAATCTGACTCTGTGGTTGCGGTGCTTATCTCCGTTTCAAAGCCAAAGAGCCAGCGCTGTCCGAAGACATTTCCGTGGTCATGTGGCTGGCATGACTAAAAACTAATAAGTAAATTACCGCCCAATCCGTTTAGCCTTTTTTTGTACTGTTTTATGCAGGCTGTTCTTTTGAATTGATTTTTAACTCACAAATCACTGATGATTTGCTGTGTTTTAAATTTGTGATTGGAAGCTGCCTCCAAAGCCCTTGGGGCCAGAAAGCAGGATATAGCTGTGTTCGATCCAGCCCGCTTTTCTACTCCGTATCTCCGTCCCCCGTCCCCCCCCATTGTGTGTGGCTTTTGCCCCTGTCAGTTCCATAATGTGTGGCATAATGTCTGGCCTCCTTTGTGGATGAAAAGCTGGTAGGTTCCAGCACCGTGTTTTAAAACAAATAAATACATGACTTAACACTCATTTTGTAGTCTGCAGGACGCTTGCTCTGTAAGAGCCTCGGGGCACTTCAGGGTTATTCTGTTGTTAATAACCTGTGGATTGTAGCCCAGGATAGAAAATGCACTTTTGAAACAGAAGATAATTTCTAGTTTGGGGAATATTCTTGGAACAAATAGGTTCCTGTAGGAAAACAAGATCTGTGTGAAAGTCAAGCCTCTTTGATCAGAACTGTGTGTTGCTTATAGGGTACCTTTGAAAGGCAATGCAGCCTCTGTGACTGAAATTAAAGGGGGAGACCAGCATGGGGGGAAAGGGGCTATTTAACTCTTTGTACTGTTTTCTCAGTGAAAACTGCCGTCCCACTTGCTTGGGAGTGGTGATTTTTCGGTGGGGGGGGGACCAACAAGAGGGGAAACAGTTAATTAGTCTCTCTTCCTTGAGTGGGTGCTCTCTGTTGAAATGTTCGCATGAGGTATGCATAATCATCATTTTCTGGTTGTGCCTGGTCCCAAGGATGTCCCGTTAGCCTTGACTAGGGCCAGGGCCTTTTCTGCCCGGCCCCAGCCTGGTAGAACAAGTTCAAACTTGAGATCAGGGCCCTACAGGGTTTGTTACAGTTCCGCAGGGCCTGTGAAACAGGGCTTTTGGATGAGACGACGGACATCAAAATCTACTCTGGCCTCCCCTGCTAACAGAGCTGGCTTCTTAATTGCCCAAACTGGACATCTTTATTGAGGCATTCCCACGCTGATCACTGTTTGTTGTTGCTTTTAATAAGGGCTCTTTTTATAGAAAAAGCCCAGCAGGAACTTATTAGCATAATTGGCCACACCCAACAGCAAAATCCATTAGCATATTAGGCCACACCCTGACTGTGCCACTTATTAGCACATTAGGCCACACCCCCATGTTACCAGAAGTGTGGTCATCCAGCCACACCCACCTTTCCCTTCTTATTCTGTTTACCTTGTTTGTTGTCAAAACCCAGGGCTTTTTTTGTAGCAGGAACTCCTTTGCATGTTAGGCCACACACCCCTAATGTAGCCAATCCTAATGAGTTTCTGCTATTGGGTGTGGCCTATTATGCTAATGAGTTCCTGCTGGGCATGGCCAACTCAGGAGCCAGCCGGAACTCCGTTCCTGTACGTTCCTGCCCCAAAATAGCCCTGCTTTCAATTGATATGGATTTTGTTTCAACTGTTTACTTTATATATTGTCATTGTTACAATTCCTGTGTGATTGTAACCCGCCCTGGGCCTGCTTGTGGGGAGGGTAGGATAGAAACCATCTGAAGAGTGCAAAGCTGCATCCTAATTTTAAAATTCCATGCATTCTAGTTGCAATCTGGTTACCTGCATAGGGTTGCCAAGTCCGACTTACCTTGCCGGTGGGGGACTTTGGGGTGCCTCCTGGTGCGTGTGCGTGCACGCTTTGCGCGCGCCGCATGCACGTCACAGGGAAGTGACGTTATGACACCGGGCACGCTGGGGGCGGGGCCATGACCATACAAGGGAAAACCAAAGAGTTTTCCCTTGTATGACCGTGGCCCCGCCCACAGCGTGCCCCGGCGTCATAACGTCACTTCCCTGTGACATGTACGCTGGGGCAGGGTTCCCCCCAGGGCCTGATTCCCCGGCGTCGGGGAACGGGCCTCTGGGGCGGGGGGATTTCCGCCCCCCGGGGGGACTTGGCAGCCCTATACCTGCAGGAGGGGCTGGGGGGGGCTAGAAAAAGACCACAGCCCTGCCCATCTAAAGGAGGGAGGGAAGGAGAGGCAGTCTGCCTTCTCCTCACTCCACGAGGCACTGCCCTTCTGCTAGCCCAGATGGGGGGGCAGTAGCCCTCCAGGAAAATTCCTGGGGACCATAACAGCCAGTCCGCCAACATTTGGATCTCGCTTTCTTTCCCTCCCTCCTTTACAGTGCAGTTCTAAGCAGAGTTACACCCTTCTCTCAGCCCCACCTACCTCACAGGGTGTCTGTTGTGGGGAGAGGAAGGGAAAGGAGATTGTAAGCTGCCCTGAGGCTCCTTCGGGTCAGTTTGGTGTTATGGTGTAGTGGTTAAGAGCGGTGGACTCTAATCTGCAGAACTGGGTTTGATTCCCCACTCCTTCACATGCAGCCAACTGGGTGACCTTGGGCCAGTCACAGTTCTCTCAGAGCTGTTCTCTCAAGAGCAGTTCTCTCAGAGCTCTCTCAGCCCCACCTATATCATGGGGTGTCTGTTGTGGGGAGAGGAAGGTAAGGAGTTTGTAAGCCGCTCTGAGACTCCGAGTGAAGGATGGAGTATAAATCCAATCTCCTCCTCCTCCTCTTCTTCTTCTTCAGAAAAGGCCAAGCCGAAGCCGAGCCGAAGAACAGCGAGTCCCACCATTGGGTGCCGGTAGGGCAGTCCCCACCCCTGACGGTGTGGCCATAGATAGGGATAAATGAAATTGTGTAAGCCGCTCAGAGACCCCTCGGGGTTCAAGCGGGATACAAGTCGAAAGCATAAATAAATAAATAAATTCTTCTACACCCATTGACTTCAGTGGGTACTGAAGGGTGCAGCTCTGCTTAGGAGGACTACACTTCAGGTAACAGATTCCAGCTAGGAATCCCCGTGCATGGAATTTTAAAATTTTAAAATAAGGATGCAGCATATCCATTCGGCATTACCTAATCATGGAATACATCGCTCATTCAGTATATATTATCATTCTCTGCTCCGTGCATTGAGGAAGCTTCAGAAAGTGTAGGTTTAGGGAAGCAACATTTTCTTCACCAAGAAGAAAAGGAATAAAATATGCCAAGGAAGCAATTAGTATGCATAAAGTCTTAATGCATTAATAGTAATAATATTTAATGCCTTAATTACATTTTAATTCATTAATATTAATACGTTCAGACTTACTGAATTCATTACATTTCGAGATTTAAAAAGTGGAGATTTCCCCCTCCCCCCCACATGCTTTCTAAGTCTTGCTGGTGAGCGGAGACCCAGATGTGTATTTCAGTGCGATCCTAATCAGAGAACCAGATTTTCTGGGCCTCAGAGTTATGGAGATATACTTGAAAAGGGGTCAGGAGGCCTCCAGTATTCAGGGATGTGTAGAGCGATCCCTTGAACCAGATCTAGCAGAAGCAAGTTGTATGCATGCCTGAATATTTTAAGATGCATCCATGCTGGGAAGTAATTCCATAATATTATTCAGTAGATAATATTTAGTCATGCACAATGAGAAGTCAGAACCATGTTCTTAATTTGAAGGATTTGCACGACTTCTGTTCTCTGTTGTCTTACATTAGATGTGCAATGCCCTCTCGACCTTGAAATAATATTAATATGCTTTTTTTGGTTATTTTTTCAGTCTAAAGTTAGCCTGGAAGGGCTGGATGAGAAAAGCCTGGACATCCAGCCACCTCTACCACCCAAAGGAGACTCCAGCAAATACAGTGAACCGGGGAGCAGCGAAGGTATTGGGGCTTTACTTTTGAAGCCAGACAAAATACTGGCCGCCGCAGCCACATGGGTGAGGATTCACCATTTTGCATTCACTGCTGCTGTGAATGCAGAGGCTCAGAGCGTCTTTGTGAGGATTTTCTGTACGGCATCCACCATCAGCTGCCGTCTTCCCTGCATTTATTCCCTGCCACACCACTGAAGAGCTATTTACAAATCAGCAAATGGTATATCGTTACAGCACCATAGCAATAACTAGCATCCAAAGCTCCCTCTGAACTGTGGAGTCTTGTGAGCAAAAATTCTACTTCGTGAGATACTGGCGTTAAAGTTGTGAGCGAGCGATTTGGCTACTGCACAAATTAGTTTGCTCTGGAGCCATCCTTCCTGAGCTAAGACCAAAATGTGTGAGCCGGAGGCTAAAAAACTGTGAGCTAGCTCACACTAACTCAGCTTAGGGGGAACACTGCGCATGATGTAGTGTTTAAACTATTGGGCTAGGATCCGGGAGACCCAAGTTTGAATTCCCATAGTACCATGGAAGCTTGCTGAGTCATTTAGGGCCAATCACACATACTCTTGGCCCAGCCTACCTCACAGGGTTGTTGTGACGATAAAATGGAGAAGTGGAGGCTGTTGTAAGCCACTGTTGTAGGGCAGCATCAAGCAACCGATGGAAGGCAAATGATACTGGTGTGGGGGTGGGCTTTTGAAAGCAGATGCCTTCCCATTCAGAGACTGTGATGACTTTCTTGGACTGTGCACTTCCCAAAAGGATCAAAGCAGAGCAGGTTTAGGAATGAGCATCCTGAGAACAGGGAAAGGATGATAGGAACATGTTTAGAGCTTGTGCGGATGCTCCAAAAAGATTTTAAAAGCTCCAGGTTAGACACCTGACTGGAGAAAATCCTCTGTGTGGAAGCAGCCGTCACTGGCCTCCTTAAACTGCATCCCCTTGTCCTGTTCAGTGTGTGAAAATCAGTTGACTTGAGGCTTCAGTCTAGAAACCACCATATATGTTCCAAATGCAGAAAGTCCCGCATTTGACTCCCAGCATCTCTAGTTAAAAGAGCAGATGTTGAGAAAGACTTTTCTCTGTCTGAGAACCCGGAGATCCTCTGCCAATCAGAGTCGACAATACTAGGCTACATTAATCAGTTATCTAACCAAGTGTAAGCTAGCTTCATATATTCAGTGTACTTCATTCGGACGGTGTACACTTTATTGGCTTTTGGGCATGTACACATGCTTTACACCAGAGATCTTCCAAATGGCATGTGTGGGCACCTCGTTGTCTTCCAATATGGTTCCTGACACTCACTCGCTTTTTTAGTCTTGGGATGAATGAGCAGGGTCTTGAACATATCAGGGGGTTGCTCCTTGGGGGCTCCTACCAGCTCACTGATTGGCAAAGTGCTGAGCTCATTCTGGGCAGGTGCATCATAGCCACATGCCCTTGCTTTGGCCATAAACACAGGCCTTCTTATATCTCTGGGCTTTGAACCACTCACTGTAGCATCTCTTCCCCAAGGCAAGGAGGTGATTCCCCGTGGTAGACACTTTGTGGTGGCACTCAACATTCCAAAAGTGCCCCTTAACTCAGCTAGGGTGGGACTCCTGGTGTGTACTCTTGCACATAAATATGCATCAGTTTTAGTTCATTTTAAAAATGGACAGGCATGGTTTCTTTTTGTTTCTTTCCCCAGAGAGCAGCCTTTCGCCCAAACTGATCAGCCCTCCCACACCGGCGATGTACAAGTATCGCCCAGCTTTCAGTAACAATCCAAAAGTACACTATCATGGAGCATCTGAACAGGTGAGACTGTTGTTAAAGTGCTTAAGGGAAGTATCTCCGAAACGGCACTTCATCTTGCATAAACTGCCACGGACTAGAACCCATTCATGAGATGCAAGGTGTTTGCTCCTCAAAAGGCAGACATATATAAACATCCACATTTTTTGCAGGGGAAAAGGTTGTAGGTCTGATTGGTTATGAATGAGAGTGGATTTAACTGGTAATTATTATTACAACTGCCCTGACCTGGATGGCTCAGACTAGCCTGCTCTTATCAGAAGCTAAGCAGGATCAGCCCTAGTTAGTGCTTGGATGGGAGACCACCGAGAAGTTCCAGGATTGCTGTGCAGAGGCAGACAAGGGCAAACTGCCTCTGTTCATCTCTTGCACTGCAGACTCCACAGGGGCACCATAAGTCAGCTGTGACTTGATGGCACCTTAAAGGTAAAGGGTAAAGGTTCCCTTGCTCGAAAGCCAGTCGAATCCGACTCTAGGGTTGCGGTGCTCATCTCCGTTTCAAAGCCGAAGAGCCAGCGCTGTCCGAAGACGTTTCCGTGGTCATGTGGCCGGCATGACTAAACAACAAGGCGCACGGAACGCTGTTACCTTCCCACCGAAGTGGTACCTATTTATCTCCTTGCAATTTCTTGCTTTCGAACTGCTAGGTTGGCAGGAGCTGGAACTAGAGACGGGAGCTCACTCCGTCATGCGGCACACTCGGGTCTCGAACTGCTGAACTACTGTCCTTCCACAGCCTGCAGTTCAGCGTCTTAACCACTTGATGGATATTATCACAGCAGACACAGTATTCGAAGTTTAAAGGAAGCAGCAGACTGCAGGGTTTTGTCAGAGGCGCATCTTGCTTTGGTATATTTGAAGCGAAGTAAGGAAAATCCTTTTTCAGAGCCAGGGATTCTAAAATTGTGAAAATATCTAAGACAACTATGGAGCCAGTTCCAATCTAACATTGGGGCTTAGTTCTTGCGGAGATGGTAAAACCAGTGACTGGTCTGTACCACTTTTAACTGTTCAGTCACGTGGAGATAGATCAAGATGGGCAGCCATGTTGGTCTGCCTGTAGCAGTAGAAAAGAACAAGGGTCCACTAGCACCCTAAAGGCTAACAAAATTTGTGGCAGGGGAGGAGCTTTTGTGAGTCACTGCTCCCTTCTTCAGACACACTGCTCCCTTCTTCAGATAGAGCTAGAATGTGAGATATTCTAGCTATATCTGGAGCAGTGACTCACAAAAGCTCCTCCCCTGCCACAAATTTTGTTAGTCTTTAAGATGCTCTTTTCTTCTGTTCTTGCTCTTTTCTGCCGTTCAATCCTAAATAGAGACACACCCTTCTAAATCAGTGGCTTTAGAAGGGTGTAACTCTGTTTAGGATTGCAGTGTAAATTGTGGGAGGGAGGATTCAACATGTGCATGGAAAAGCAGCATGTCAAGCAGAAAGCTAGGTTACGGCCCTACTACCTGAGGTACTACTTTTCTGGGAGTAGAGAGTATTTGGCCGTGGCCCCACTGGCGGCTTGGTGCAATATAGTGCTGCCTCTTATTGAACCAGTTGAAAGTATTGCAGGGCACATCAGCCACACAGCACGCCCTGCTGCGGGTTACCCACGGAGACATCCCGTGGTGAAGCAATCCACATTATTGCAGCACCTCAGCTACAGAGTGCGCCGCCAAAAAACCCTCAAAATGCATGCACGTGCATAAGTGTGCATGTGCGCACATACGCATATGGGCAATTTTTTTAAAAAATAGCCTCCCCAGCAGCAGAACAGATCTGCAGGTTCAGACTGCCAAATTTGTTCTGCGCACACTCCCCCGCGTTCAGACATCTGGACATGCGCAGTGACTGCGCGAGCAACGGAAAACACCACTTGCGATGTGGTGCCTTTTTAACCCGGCTCTAAGTCGTCCTACGATGGGATACGTATGGCTGGGCTTGGTGTCCTCAAGATGAATTTCTGTAAGGTGATACTGGGTAGCTTGTTGGAACCGGCTTTCCATGTAACCAAAGTCGATTAATTTTGACAAGCTTTTGATAACTAAATGGGTAAATTTCAATGCCAGGGTCATTACTGTAAATCAAAGTGGATTAATTGGCAGATCTGTCTCTGGTGCTTTAAAAAAAATTACATATTTATTGTTTAGGTGTTCTTAGCAGTTTTGCTGTATTGCTTTAATTAGTTTGTAAGTGGCCTTGAATTGCAACAGAAGCAAGGCTATAAATACTTTTGGCATAATCCTTGAGATAAGCGTCTGGCCTTACTTGGGGATTAATTCCCAGGAATTACTTGGCTAATCAATTCAAACATAATTTTTCCTTCTTCTCCCTATCATATTTTAATGATGTGGCTAACAAAGTGAGCTCTGACTCATGAAAGCTTATTTCTCAATAAATCTGTTAGTGTTTAAGGTGCCACAAGGCTCTCTGTTGATCTGGTTACAACAGAGTAACATGGCTACCTCTCTGGAGTTTAGAGATCCTAGTACTATAGTGTGTGGCTTGCTTTCAGGAGGAGGAATTTGGTACATACCATACTGCAAAAAAACCTCTATGAAAGAAGCACACCCCAAAACAGAAATTGTTGCTCATGGAAGATCTGAACTATTGCATTAAATCCTTCTCATGTGTTTCCCAGAGAGTAGGTTACATGTTTGAGACATTACGCTTGCATGTCGGTTTCTAGAAATAAGACATATGAATCTCTCTACCCGTTAATTTTTTTTAACTGTGCAGTTGAATTAGGAAAGGAGCTGCGGTGGCTCAAGTGGTTAAGACGCTGAACTGCAGGCTGTGGAAGGTCAGTAGTTCAGCAGTTCGAGACCCGAGTGTGCTACATGACGGAGTGAGCTCCCGTCTCTAGTTCCAGCTCCTGCCAACCTAGCAGTTCGAAAGCAAGACATTGCAAGTAGATAAATAGGTACCGCTTCGGTGGGAAGGTAACAGCGTTCCGTGCGCCTCGGTGTTTAGTCATGCCAGCCACATGACCACGGAAACATCTTCGGACAGCGCTGGCTCTTCGGCTTTGAAACGGAGATGAGCACCGCAATGAAATGTATGTCTTTACTTAAACTTCAGTTCATAATAGCAAGGGAACCTTTACCTTTACCTTAATTAGGAAGAAAATGGTTTCATGAAATGTATGTCTTTACTTAACCTTCAGTTCATAATAACATATATTGTAATGTATAATGAAAAGGTTTTATTCCGTGTATGCCTCTTGCTCTGTGGGTACCATGTGGCTGCAAACTCAAGCATCTCAGTGGGGTTTACTGTTCAGGGTACAGGACCTCATAAGTGCCCACTGACCTTCTTACAGGTAAGTTCTCCTTTTGCGATGAAACCCTCCGTGAAGTTCAGGCAGCATCCAGAGGCACGTGGCAAAATTATTTTCCCTCACATCCGGGAACCGACTGGAAACAAAGGGCGGGAGTCCATGATATATGCCAATCTATAAGAAGGTTCTTTACAATTACTTTAGAACCACGCTCACAATGGAGTTCCACTCTGAGACTGGGATTTCTCCCTTGTCAAGGAAAGCAGAGGCGGGGGCTAAGAGATGCAGGTCAGCTGTTCCACCAGCAAACATGCAGGGATGCTGTTCATAAGTGTTCCAGCTCATGTTGATTTCTGTAGTTTTGTAATTCTTTAAAAATTGCCTTGAGGCCCCAATCCATATTGGGCACAGTGTGTGTGTTGGCTCCAGCAGATCTTGTCCCCCCCCCCTTTTCATGTGCCAAAATGGAGGGGGGGATTGGACATGTGGCCGCCATCACATTTAGTTTGGCTCTTATTTCTGATTGGCTAGAGGAACTTTTTCTTCCATCGAGTAAACTCCTTGCCTTGGATCCGGTACCTTGTTTCCACTCGTGCTTCCTTCATCCATCGCGAAGGCAGTTCTCTGCTGCGAAGCATACGTTCCCTGAGTGCTAGGCGTTTCCGCGTATACACAATCAGTGTCTTTCAGTGAACTACAAGATGCCTAGCATGTAAGGAATACATGCTCCATAGCGGAGGACTGCCTCCGCAACATACAATGGAAGAGCACGTGGGGACCCTATAGAGGCTCCGAGCCTAAGCCTGTGATGATTGCTGTTTTAACTTTGAAAATGGAGGCAAATGCCCATTAAGAAATCCCGCTTCAGGAAGTTGCTTTCCCCCCCTTGTTGTTGGACTCTTCCCCGTAATGGCTCATCCATCTTTCTTTGGGTACTTGTCGCCCAACTGAGAGCTTTTGAAAGGCAGGCTTGCAGCAAGCTATTATGGCACCAAACTGCCCGCAGCTGAAAAGATTACCTCGAGAGCCTCACCTTATTACCCGACAAATGGCTTTGGTGCGCCTCTCGTTCAAAATATTATACTTTTACGCACGCTTCAGCTGGTTTTGAATTGTCCGCAGAACGGGGTGGGTGAAAGAGAATGCTAGTATAGAGCAGGGCTCTGTGTAGAAAGGGTCTTTAAGTTGCCAGTTAGGATCAGGAATGCAGTGCATGTCGAGAAGGGGCTTCGGCTTTCTTGCCTGCACAGTTTTCTCACCCTGAAACAGCCCCAGGGTGGTACTATTGGGCCTCTTGGGGAAACCCACAGATACCCCAGAGAACATTTGGGTTTCTCCAAGCAGTGCCTCCGGGACTATTTCAGGTTGATAATGCGGCGCAGGTGGATAATATGGTGCTGAAGCCCCTATCTGTGTACGCTGAGATCCTGTTCTTAACCAGGCAATACACATGCAGGAATTGAGGAGAGCCCACAGCTCAAGTGTGATTGTGACACATCTGACACAGGAAGGAGACCTCGGTCCAACTTGTGTACAGCATTCCATAAAGGTAAAAGGTAAAGGTTTCCCTTGCTCGAAAGCCAGTCGAATCCAACTCTAGGGGTGCAGTGCTCATCTCCATTTCCAAGCCGAAGAGGCAGCGCTGTCTGAAGACGTTTCCGTGGTCATGTGGCCGGCATGACTAAACACCAAGGCGCGCGGGACACTGTTACCTTCCCACTGAAGCGGTACCTATTTATCTACTTGCAATTTCTTGCTTTCGAACCGCTAGGTTGGCAGGAGCTGGGACCAGAGACGGGAGCTCACTCCGTCATGCGGCATACTCGGGTCTCGAACTGCTGAACTACCGACCTTCCGGTCTGCAGTTCAGCACCTTAACCACTGAGCCACCGCAGCCCCTACAGCATTCCATAATGGAGTCCAAATATGTGTTGACTGCAAAGAAAAAGGGGGAAACGGTCCCGTGTTCCAAAGAGGAGAAGTTCAAAGAGTATTACGGCCTGGATTGTGCCTCCCTTGCTCCGGCCCTGCTGCCTTATCTCTCTGTTAACTGTACCTCTTTTCCAGATCTCCATACAAGACGGCCATAAGCAAGCAGCCGTCATGGAGGAGAATGACAGCAGCCTCGATTACCAGTCGGAACCGAGCGTTGATATCCCCAGCTATCGGCAGAGCTCCCTCCACAAGACCTACCAGTCTTCTCCGCTCCAGATAGACTCCTTTGCCGTCAATTCGAGGTCTTTGAGCCTGAAATCTGCCAGCCGGCGAGGGATAGACAAAGTGTCCCTCCACCCCCTGAAGTCGGAAGGGGCTGCTTCCACACCTTACAAGAGCATCTTTTCCCCCAACTCTTTGTCGAACAGGAACGGAAGTCTGTCTTACGACAGTTTGCTTAACCCCATGTCCCCCTCAGGGAGGAGGTGCATGGCTCATTCCGCTGTGGGCTCCATCGGGTACCACTCGCCATATTTGTCTGCCAAAATGTGCCACCTGCGGGGCAGAGAGCTTCAGCGCCCACCCCCGCAGAGCTTCAGCCCTGTGCTGGGCAGCCCGGCCTCCCACCCGCGTGACCCCTCGCCGGTCCGCTACGACAACCTGTCGAAAACCATCATGGCGTCCATTCAGGAGAGGAAGGAAATGGAGGAGAGGGAAAAGCTCCTCCTCTCTCACCCAGACTCTGTGTTTGCAGACTCGGGGGTGTACGACACCCCTAGCTCTTACAGCCTTCAGCAGGTCAGCATGCTGTCGGAAGACCCCCGTAGCATCATTTTGAGATACGGCTCTAGAGACAATCTGATGACCACAAGCAGTTTTAGTGCGAGGAACCCTGTCCTGCAGGCCTCGGTCACTTCCCTCTCCAGTGCAATGACCAGAACGTCAAGGACTTCCACTCCTTCCCTTCAAGCTGACCTAGCCAATAACAATGTCCAAGCCCACCAAGCGTTGCAGGGCCGGGTGAGCAATGGCTCCTTCAAGTCTCCCGGCCATCAAGTCCCGTCGTCCCCCAGTGGAATATCCAGGTCACCCTCGTACGGCCCAAAAGCGGTCTCGTTTGTTAATGCTGTGGAAATAACAGAGGCACAACCAATGGGGACTCCAAGGTACGCACAACTTTCTTACTACAGTTGTTCTTAAAACTGTGCTAGCGTTCTTCCTTTCCTCCTTCGCAGAGATATTTTTCTTCTAATGTTCAGGGATGTTGTGTTGTTGTTTTTTTGCAGGGGAAGTACTATTACATTTTGGAAAATTGAAAAATGGTTTGCAGATTAGTATCCAGGGATACTGAAACCCGTTTTGCATGAACGGTGGGGGAAAGCCATTAGAAGTAGTTTATTCCTCCTCTGCTGCAGGAGAAACAAAATCATGCCAACTCACAGTGCACACATGCTCATTGCACAAGGAACAGCTTAAAAGCCAGTTGTCACATGTGACAATCCATGTGCAGATTGCTGTAGGGTCACAAATGGCAGCTGGATCAATCTGGTAAGTCGGGCATTGGAGGGAGACAAGGGGATAGAATAGCATCCATTACACAGTGGGGAACTACATTATGGGTATAACATTTTACCATAGAGAGGAAGATTCTGTATTGACCTGTAAGCTGAACGTCCAGTAAACATTAATAGCCACCATTGCTTATACATCCCCATGGTCACAGAATGGCATTGCTCTGTCACATTTTTATCTTGCCTTTCCTCCAGGAAGTGTTCACGGTGTTGTTTAATTTTATCCTCACAAACATCCTACAAGGTAGTTTAGGCAGAGAGAGTGTCACCTGGTGGGCTTTGGAGCTGGCGGGACTGGAACCCAGGATTCTCGAGTCCTAGGCTAGGACTCTTGACATCTGTATACTATTCCGGCTTTTGGATTTAGCATCTCTAGGGTGAAACCAGCCATATACTTTGCATTCAGAATTAGAGTTGGAAAGCTGTTACATTTTAAACCAGAAGTGCCAACGAAGAGCCGCAGCGCTATGTGACCTGTGCTCTTTCTGTCTCTTCCGTGATGTCCTTCTGTTGCTCTGGTCTGCGCCCAACCATCCTGACACAGAAGGCAGAGTTTCCCCCTGTTCTTGCAGCCCATTCTGAACCCGGGAAAGGGATTGGCATGGATTTGGAGGAATAGCCACACAAGTCAGCAGGCTGGAAAGCTGTTACATTTTAAACCAGAAGTTCCAATGAAGAGCCGCAGCGCTGTGTGACTTGTGCTCTTTCTGTCTCTTCTCTTCTGTGATGTCCTTCTGTTGCTCTGGTCTGCACCCAACCATCCTCACACAGAAGGCAGAGTTACCCCCTGTTCTTGCAGCCCATTCTGAACCCGGGAAAGGGATTGGCATGGAGGAATAGCCACACAAGTCAGCAGGGTGAAGTGAAGAGGGATGAGGAGGTGAAATTGTTCGTCCTCTTTTTTCCCTCGGGCACAGTTTCACTGGGGGGGGGTTATCCCCTATGTCCATCTTCACTCAGTCCTCTGTGACCCAAACTGCATGGCTGTTGCTCCTTGTCAGGGCATTTTTTGTAGAAAAAGCCCAGCAGGAACTCATTAGCATAATAGGCCACACCCAACAGCAGAAACTCATTACCATATTAGGCCACACTCTGACAGCACCGCTCATTAGCATATTAGGCTGCACCCCGGTTTTGACAACAAACAAGATAAACAGAATAAGAATCAAAAGGTGGGTGTGGCTGGATGACCACATTTCTGGTAACATGGGGGTACAGCCTAATATGCTAATGAGCGGAGCTGTCAGGGTGTGGCCTAATATGGTAATGAGTTTCTGCTGTTGGGTGTGGCCTATTATGCTAATGAGTTCCTGGTGGGCGTGGCCAACTCGGGAGCCAGCTGGAACTCCGTTCCTGTGCGTTCCTGCCCAAAAATAGTCCTGCTCCTTGTGTGTTCTGGAAGGGGATGTATGCCTAGAGAGAAATATGGGAAGACTCCACGGGTCTTCTGTGCACAGATGGCAGGCTACAAGCCACTACCAGTTTATTTGTGCCTTTATTTATTTGGTGCATTTTTGTCCCACCTTTCCTCCAATGAGCTCAGGGCGGCAGACATAGTTCTGTCTTCTCCATTTTATCTTTGCCACAACTCCTTAGTTAGGCTGAAAGACGACTGACTCTCGCCCAAGGTCACTTAGGCGGTGATCACACACACTAAATAATCCACTTTCAATCCACTTTCCTACTGGATTTTACTGTGTGAACTGGCAGAATCCAGTTTGAAAGTGGATTGAAAGTGGATTATTTAGTGTGTGATCACAGCCTTATTAGTGACTTCATAATGGGTGGGTATTTGAACCCGGCACTCCCAGGTCCTAGTCTGATACTGTAAACACTATGCCACACTAGTAGATTTGCACCTGTCATCACGAGGAGCGCTGCATACCCCCAGAGTTAGGGTTCCCAACCTCCAGGTGGGGCCTGGAGATCTCCCTCTGTTACAACTTATCTCCAGACAATAACGATCAGTTCCCCTGGAGAAAATGGCTGCTCTGGAGGGTGGACCCTAGGGCATTGTACCCCGCTGAGGTCCCTCCCCTCCCCAAACCTCACCCTCACCAGGCTCCACCCCGAAAATCTTCAGATATTTCCCAACCCAAAATATGCAAAGTGATAGATGTGATAGATTAGATAAGCATATGGAGCAGAGGTCCACCAGTGGCTATTAGCCACAAGGTATAGATAGGGGCTCTGGGGCAAGTGATGCTCTGTCATCTTGGTGCTTGGGGGGGGGTCAACAGTGGGAGGGCTTCTAGTGTCCTGGCCCCACTGGTGGACCTCCTGATGGCACTGGTATTTCTGGCCACTGTGTGATACAGTGTTGGACTGGATGGACCTTTGGCCTGATCCAACATTGGTGTCTCTTATGTTCTTATGTGCAGCTTCCACATGCTAGCAAGACTTACCGGAATCTTTTGGCTTGTCTAGCACTTTCTGACAAAATCTGGAGCCTTGCTAGCCCTTGCAGCACATATGAGGAGGCTTCTGGCATATGGTGAGGGTCTTGGACATCACTGTCTTCTTTGGAGGCCTGGATAGCCCAGGTTCAGACCTCAGAAGCTAAGCAGGGTCGGCCTTGGTTAGTATTTGGATGGGAGACCACCAAGGAGGTCCAGGGTCACTACACAGAGGCAGGTGATGGCAAACCACTTCTGAACGTCTCTTGCCTTGAAAACCCCTACGGCGCCGCCATAAGTCGGTTGCGACTTGATGACACTTTACACGCAGGCATATTTTTGAAAAGACCCAGCATGGCTGGCAAATGTATGAGCATTAATTTCGTCCACCTGTGGCATGTCAAATGCCCCTGGAAAAGCCCAAAGGCCTGTGCACATCTTTCTCATAGGGTCCAAAACAGAACATAAGTAGAGCCCTCCTTGAAGTAGACCAAATGTCTATTTAGGTGAGCATCCTGTTTCCCACAGAAGTCAACCACATGCCCCTGAGAAACCTACAAGCGGTGTGCAAAGGCAACAAGAAAACCTGTGGATGCTGCCATAATGCTACCTCTGAGCATCACAGCTAAGAGCCACTGATGGGCCTATTTTCAACCTGCTTGAAAAGCTGACAAGACTGGCGGCTATGGCTGCCATCTTGTGGCAATGAGTTCCACAGCTAGGTTGCCAGCCTCCAGGTGCGGAGTTTCCAACCTCCAGGTGTGGCCTGGAGAGCTCCCAGAATTACAGTTCATCTCCATACTACAGAGATCGGTTCCTCTGGAGGAAATGGCTGCTTTGGAGGGGTCCCTTCCCTCCCTAGACCCCAGCCTTCCCAGGCTTCACCGCCAAATCTCCAGGAATTTCCCAACCTCGAATTGGCAATTCTAACCATAATTCAGAATTTCAGCCTGGAAATGAGATCTCTGTAACTATTTTACTTGTGCATGGAACATTCACTGTTGGCAACCTGGCAACACTTGAAAAAGCCCTTGGAAACTGTTAGGTAGGTCCCAACCCACCACCTAGCAATCAGGAAACAGAGTAATGCAATCTTGTGTTTTGAGTGCTGTAACAGCTATTAACCACCAGGGTGTAGCTGACTTGTTTGCTTCATGCTAACAGGCTTTGATGACAGAGGTGGGTGTCGCTTTGGTTTCCTGTTGTTTATAATAAGGAGCTCAATGGGAATGAACTTCTATTATCCTACAAGCTGCAAGAAATAATGAGAAGGGCTGCTGCTTCTGACCGGTCCCAGTAATCTCTCCAGAACCCCTTGGCTAAAATTGTTGAGTTCATTCGAATATGCATCATACATCTTGTGGTGCAAAGGAAATACAATTTTGGAATGGAAATATTTGACACTGAATAGATCAAGACGGATAGCCGTGTTTGTCTGTCTGTAGCAGCAGAAAAGAGCAAGAATCCAGTAGAACCTTAGACTAACAAAATCAGTGGCAGGGGAGGAGCTTTTCTGAGTCACTGCTCACTTCTTCAGAGACAGCTAGAATGGGAGTTCATCTGTCCTATTTATTGGGAAGTGGAGTGATTTCAGATGCCGAATGACAACAGCAAGTGAATGACAATAGCAGGCATTATTAGATTTAGGTGAGATATGCAGAGGGGTAATAAGCATGGAGAAATCAGCATTGGTAATGATTGTGAAGTTACCTTTTGAAAGGTTTTAGCATGTGAAAAGGCTTATGTTCCAGAATGCATTCTGGGATGTTATTAGATTAATTAAGTAGCAATTTTTAAGCAAACAGGAAGGAGTGGCTGGCAGGCTGGAAGGGACGGACTGAAATTTGAAAAATAAAACTAAAGACCTGAGCTTTAAAGGATGAATAATACAGAAGGTTGCCACCAGTGTTCCCTCTAAGCTGAGTTAGTGTGAGCTAGCTCAATGCATCTGATGAAGAGAGCTGTGTTTCTCGAAAGCTTATGCTACAATAACGTTTGTTAGTCTTAAAGGTGCTACGGGGCTTTTTACTATTTTGCAGCAACAGACTAACATGGCTAAATCCTCTGTATCTAGGACATAAACAGCTTCTAGAATGCTTGTATGGAACTTTTCATGACGGCTGATCCCTGTCCACTAACTCCCAACCTGCTTGTTTTGCTTCCGATACAGGGAGGACATCCAGTTGAAGACACCTCACAGTAAAATTAATGGACAGCCAAAAGGAATTTCAAGGGTAGAGTGTCGACTAGGGTCAACGCCAAGCCCCCAGGGACCCCCAGTCAGTCCTGCTAGGCACTCAAACGTTAAGAAAGTGTCTGGAGTGGGTGGAACGACCTACGAAATTTCAGTATAAAGGAGAAATTCGTGAAACAAAGAGCCATCCACAAAACCAGCCATGAAGCTAGGTGCACTGTGAAAACTCAGATAATAATGCCAACAAGAAGAGGAGGAGGAGAAGGAGCAGCTGATGGTTTCCTTTCCGTTCCGTTTCATGGGGGTGGGTTGGTTTTTGTTTTTAAATTAAAAAAAGAACACTCCTTCTTTCTTTAAGCAACTTTGTTTTGGCCAAAAACCAGCTGCAGCCTTACTTGTGAAGACATAAAACTTTGTACAACTCATTGGAAAAATCTCTCCGACAGGCAGTTGGGAACCAGCTCAGTCAATCGACAGATGTGCGGCACCAGGAGTCAGAGATTACTCTTGCTTTTGTGGAAGAGGATGGGAAAAGCCATTGTGCGTTTGTCCATCAAATCCTGTCATGTAGATGTTGTACTGTGATCTTAAAAAAACCCAGTTTGATCGGGCTCAGTGGTTCTCCCCGTCCTGTCCCTCCAAGTTTGATGGTGATATGATGGAATGACAGAATTAAATAGCTTATTTTTTTTCATCCTTTAAATTATGAATACTAGATTTCTGGGAAGAGGTTGCTGTTGCCCAATGCAGCAAATAGCAATGGCTGCCCATTCATTTTACAGGAGGAAACAGATTCTGGTGGGCATCCAGATGCACATAAGAAGAGCCCTGATGATCAGACCAAACATCTGTCTGGACTTGCATCCTGTTTCCCACAGTGGCTGGCCAGATGTTTTCAAAAAGCTCACAAGTAGGGCAATAAACACAACGTTCCTTGATAGATCTCTCTTCCACAATTGTGTCTAATCCACTTTTTAAACCATCTAAGCTAAAGGCCATCATGCCATCTTGTGGTGGTGAATTCCCCAAATTAATCATGCATTATAGGAAGCAGTGATTTCTTTTGTCTGTCCTGAATCTGCTGCCCATTAACTCCCCAAGTTTCAGTATTATGAAAGAGGGTGGGAAATTTGCCTCCCTCCACTTTCTCCATGCCACACTTTAAGGCATGCCGATCTGTTTCCTCCATTGGAATGAATGGAGAAAGTCCTCGTGAACAAGGAATCCTCATACATGCACACACATGTGGGTTTCTGCGTCATTGCATGGAAGGGCCCAAGCAACGTCAATTGTGCTCCTCTTCAGTTGAAGGGTCCTTTGACCATCATGCAGTCTTTTAGCGATTGTCTTCTGAGCAAGGGAAGGGGAGAAAGTGGTTTGGAGGTATCCCATTCTCCTTCGCCACGGTGTATTAAATCCTGTGTCCCTGTATCCATATGAGTTTGTCTTTCATGTAAAAGAACTGTCACACAGAGAAGCAACTTCCATTCCTCCTTGGGTTTTTTTTTAAAGCCTATTCTGTTCAGAGAAAAGAAACCCCCAAATATTCAACTGGTATTCCGTCATGGTACACAGCCGTCCTCTTTCTCCCTTGTTTGCGCTTCTGGAGATGGGCTGTAATATGGTGTATTGTCTTGCACGCGTGCATTGTGTATCATCCCAGCACAATGTTGTTATGGTCTGTTGAAATTTGCTCTGTGTGCGTGAGTGTGACTGACTGAGTGTGAGAGATACAAACATGTTACCTGTCTGATGACCAGTGAGTTTTCGTAAGCCCTAAATATTTTGAAAACAGGCATGTATTTTCCAATGCTGATGTCCACAGCACCTACAGTTCCTCCAGAGTAGAGCTGATTTGAAAATGGGAAAAGTCACTTGCAGAAATTCAGAATGTTTCTTTTCCTTAGCAGTATTATTTCCCCCACAATTTTTTCAGTCATGGATGCTGCTTGGTTTTGGATTTGTAAAGAAAAGCAATGTGTAAAAAACCCCACAAAAACAAATTAGGGAACCTGATAAGCACATTATTGCCTTAAAAGCCATTGACAAGAATTAAGATTTGCATTTAAAAAGAAGAAGAAGCAACCCTCAGAGTTTAGTTTTGAAAGTGAAATTTGAAAAAGTTCAGGATGTTAAAAGTTTAGATTGCAGAATTCTTGTGGAATTTCATTTCAGCTCTAGTCCAGGCTGCTCTAAGTTCAGGGGCTGAGTGAGTCTCTAATTGCAGCCCTTCCAAGACCACTTCCAAGACCACTTGACAGCAAACACTGATTTCTTGCCAGTCCACAGTGCTGGCAGCAACTGAAAAATAGTTCTGGCAGTCCATGTTGCTTGCTTTCCACGCTTGCTGCAGGGGTCTTCTGGCAAATGAGGTCCAAATGAACTAACAATCTCTGACCATCCAAATTATTGCCATGCATCAACCAACCTCCGCAGAACTCTTTGTCAGGCTCAGTGTTCAGACACAGCCGGAAGGAGAATTCTGTGCAACTTGGAACAATTGTGAGGCTTTGGTTGGTCCTAATGAAAAGGCATTACACTGTTAGCTGTTTGATCCCCCCCCCCTTAATGGACCAGCGAAGCTTCTGGTGATATTTTTTCTGGTAAGAGAAGTAGCTGGGATTCCCCTGGACACTTTGTGCTCCTCTGATTGACTCCTGTGGTGTCCCGTCAAGAGTGTAAGTTGTTTCTGTTGATACACGCTTTTAGCAGGGCAGTAGCAATGCTCCCTCTGAGCTGTGGAGTCCTGTGAGCAAAAATTCTACTTTGTGAGCTACTGGCATTAAAGTTGTGAGCAAGTAATTTGGGTGCTGCATAAATTATTTTGCTCTGGAGCCGTTCTTCCTGAGCAAAGACCAAAATGTGTGAGCTGGAGCTAAAAAAACTGTGAGGTAGCTCACTCTAACTCTGCTTAGAGGGAACACTAAGCAAAGTTAAACCCTTCTCAGCATTTGGAAGTTGGTGGGTTTAGAAGGGGGTAACTCTGCTTATGGTTGCACTGTAGGTCACTTTCCTTTCTTCATGTCTCCACTTTGTTGCTTCCTGCTGGCACTTTTTAAAAAGAGTGTAAATGTTTCTGGGTTTCCATCCAATGTCAATGAATTAAAAAGAGGCTAAGGATCCTAAAGAAAAAAGCCATATGTGTTCTAAGATTTGGGACAGATAGTTCTGCGAGTTGTTTCATGGGAAACATAAGATTTTACACCCCAGTGGTTAAAAACCATCACAGAGCATCCACAGCTTTTTTATTTATTTCCTCAAGATCTTCAACGTGGTCTCTGTGCTTCACACCCATGGGATCTAGTGAGCATGCGCTGGATCGATCGGTGCTGTAGCAAGCTTTTTTAACGGATTTTCACGCCCAGTCCCTCGGGCATGCGCAGGAACCCCACCCTGCATGCCTAGAGGGGTGGGTGCGGACATCCCACCAGTTCCTTTCTTACCGCCGCGTTGAGTAGACCTCTTCTTCATCAGTCTGATCGGTTCGCTGTTAGCTCAACCTCACAGCTCAACACTACTAAACATGTCCTCGAGGCGTCTTCAAGGACAATGGCTTCTGCAATAGCTCTCAGAAGACATTCCTGGCTCCGCAACACTAATCTCCCGATAGATACTAGATCTTAGAAGATCTCCCTTTTGATGGCCTGGGGCTTTTCAATGCTACCACAGATACTACTCTACAAGAGTTAGACAAAAGCATAAAAGCTTCTCGAGCTCTAGAAGTCTCTTCCTCTGCAAAACAACAATACCGTTCCCGCACCTGGTCGAGGTCCTGGCAGAGGCATATACCAACTCATCAGTCTCCAGACACACGATGGAGACCACGAGTGTCTTTGGGAGGCCAAAGACCTGCTTTTCAGAAACCAAAAATCAGTTCAGGCCAACAAGCTTCCCGCACCAAACAGTCGAAACCCTCCAAGCAGGGTTTATGACTTCCCTGTCACCAAGTCAGCTCCTACCCATCTGTTTCCCTTTCTTCACGCCTGGTGTCTCATCACCTCGGACGAGTGGGTGTTGTCCATCTTGACCCGAGGTTACAAAATTCAGTTCCACCAGAACCCCAATATTCCTGTCGTTGTCTCCAAGCCCCTTTCCCCACCTCTCCTCGAGGAGGTGTCCGTCCTTCTGCAGAAGGGAGCCATCGAACAGGTACCACCACACCTCCAAGGGACGGGATTTTATTCCCGATACTTCACAGTCCCGAAGAGAGATGGAGGCGTTCGACCCATATTAGATCTAAGGGAACTGAACCGTTTTGTGACCTACCACCACTTCCGCATGGTATCCCTACAACAGATCATGCCATTGCTTCGGAGACACGTCTGGATGGCCACCCTCGACCTCCAAGACGCATATTTCCACTTTACTATCCACCCCTTCCACCGCCAATACCTACGCTTTGCGATTGGTCAACAGCACTACCAATATACAGCCCTTCCATTCGGCC